TAATGGATTAATGCTGTGTAGTGGGAACACAGACCCGCGTCTTCCAGAGGAATCCTAGCAATCAGCAAGCAATTACCTCTTGGTTAAGAGCTGATGACTGACCCATCTTCCATGGGGAGATACCATAGCTAACTGCTACAGCACCAGCTTTGCTTGTAGATCCCAGTTAACAGAATCAGGCAGCAGCTGAAGGGGAACATCTTTGCTTGAGACCCTGGAAATCCGCTGCTGGCCAATGAAGGTTACACAGGCTTAAGCGGACAAATAGATTTCACCTCGTCTAATGGCAGTTTCCTAGTCCTTTTTTCATAAAGCCTGTGGCCACCTCATTTTGTGGCATTTTACTCCAGTAATTAATTTAATTTGTCAAAATTTCTTTTAGCAATATCGCTTTGTTAAAGCTTCTAAGTGCACTTTGTAAACTTTAACAAGAAGGACCATGTTAAGTCCCATCGTCAATATATTCCAGTGCTGCAGCAGCTGGGCCATATTGTGCCAGCCCCTATAGGAAGTTGCTTGCTCACTGTTTCAGTATGAGGAAACAACTTTGCTAAGATTCCTCCTTTGACAGGTTCCCTAGGGAACAAGCAGCAAAACCTTGCGAAGTTAAAATCCTCCCCTGGAAACCAGCCCTGAGTTACACATTTCAGCACTATCCTTCCTTAATTACTCTGGCCTTTGCTACAACACTTCACGGTGACCTGACTCGGTGCTTGTAAAGTGTTCCTTCTCACAAAGGAAACAGCAGTCGGTCTGCTGACAACCCACACGATCCCGCAAAGGGTCTTAGTGGAATTATCGTCTCCCTGTGCACAATCCCAGGATTCTTGCTGAAGGAAAAGAGCATTGCCCCACAGCCAGACTTCTCTTTCACTGCAACCGCTGTACCTCTTCCTTCCCACTGATCCAGCAGAGCAGCTCAATGCCTCCAAGTGAAAACAAAGAGACTCGAGCTCGGGAATGCAGATGACTTCACATAAAAGGTAGAGGATTTTGGGAAAACTGCATACAGCTTCTTGAATGGTCGCTGTCTTACCAGCCTGAGCACACCTTGCCCAGTTCACACCAAAGAGGTACCAAATTACTAAAAGTGCAAAGTTTTTCTGTGTTTGTTTTAAAAGCAAGCTTGTACATCTTCATTGTTACTACTCTTTAATATGCTGCTGGTTTTGCTTTCTGGCTAAAGACAGAAAATATCATATATCAGCATGTAATGTGACTCACATATAAGCAGGCTGTTTTTCGGGTGTTTGTCATATGTTGGGTGTCCATACGGCCCCCAATTTTTGCTTTGCTATTTTTGGTTTCAAGGATCGTCTTCTACGCCGAAATATACGGTATGTAGAAGAGGTACAATATCGGCTTCTTTCCCTCCGATGCAGATGTGTTGACCTGCAACCGCCATCAAAGCCACATTTCAGCCTGTTGTTCTCTCTAGTCCAAGAGGTCAATCACAGTGTTAAAGGATGGGCCTCTAAGCGCAGGAACCCTGAATTTTTCACCTGAAGCGGCACACCGCCCTGCTGTGGCAAGCACTTGCTGCAACGGAGGTGCAGAAGCCTGGATGATTTCTGTAGCACCGGATGACTCACCTCCTCCTGCTTCCCCACTCCCCAAACCTTTCTGCCTGAGGTTTTTCCTGAAGCCATATCCCCCCCCCCATTTCCCCCTCTGTATACATCACTTTTTTCAAATTGGGGCTATCTTCAGGGACCCAGGCAGGAGCTTTTGAGGACTTTGGAGCATATGCAGATCTATTTTATTTTATTTTAGTCCTGTGGTCCTGAGCTCTGGATCCTTTTGGTACTTAGCAATGCCCCTACAAAAGATCTTTTCGGTACCTGTAATTTCTCCCTCCCCTCCACAGAATCATTTAACAGAAACAAGAGATGTGCATACAGATCACAGGCAGTAACTGCCACTCTCGTCTCTTCATCATTTTGTGGGGAAGGAGGGTGGGAAGGTATAATTTGTCTCCAGACAGAGCTCTGCGTCCTCATTTAAGAACCAAGTGCTTCAGCACACACACACTACATAGGAAAGTACTTCAGTCAAACCCCAATTACTGACCTATTTCAAGAGAGCTGTTTTCCAACATTGGAAAAGATTTTAAAAGAAAAGATAAATTATCCTAAGTTTCACAACGACCGTATATAATTCAATCTAGTTTGAACAAAAGGGCTCAATCTAAATGTATTGTGTCATTGCAGAATGTGATTCTGGGCAGGCAACCTCAGGATTGGGGCTACACACAGAAGAAGCATCTCTGGTACATACACTGAATACAGTACTGAACCCAGAAGAGCTGGGTTCAAATTCTTCCCGAGTCATTAAGGTGACCTTGGGCCACATACTCTATCAACCTAGCCTACTTCTGAACAATACAAAATACTTAAATATAAAGCATTCATTCATTTACTTATTATTTCAATTTATATGCCACTACCATAGCCCATGATTGGACTCCCTGTGTGGCTTAATGTTTCATGTATGTTATCTCTCATCATAATCCCTACAAGAAACCTGCAAGGTAAAGTCATCAGTATTATCCCTGCATTGCAGAAGAGGCAACTGAGGTTAAAAAAAGTGTGGCTAACTTAAGGCTACCTCAGGCAAGTTACAAAATAGTCTTGATTGTTCCTACAATGTGCGAGCCCCAAAGTTGTTTTGCTTCCTACCTAGTAGAAAAGCCCATATAACTAGGCCTGTTCCTGGTGGAATCTTACAGTTTATCAGCTTATCAATCACAAAATTAAACTTTCATTTTTGAAGACACTTAAAATTCTAGCAGCTAAGCCCTTGAGGTATGCAAAGGCCAAAACCTCCAAAGTCAACACCACTGCACACTCTTGGATGACTGATCCCTTTCCTACAATCACTCAGCAACATTTCCTTTCCCATCTATTACCTGTTGACCTTGGACCCATCAATGTATTTTATCTACAGTTTGTTTTCTATCACTACACTCAGCTGGTTCAAACTACACAGTAACACATGATGACGCTGCATGTCTACCTGCTGGGTAGTGACTGTTGTGTCATGTGAACCTGATATGCATGGGTTAAACCGTATTTGCAGAACCCTAGAACAGACCAAAGGTAATTTGAGGCTTTTTTAATCTTCACATAATCCATACTCGCTGGGTTCTCACAACACAACTCCCAAGTGGCAGTTGTATAGGTATTGTGGGTGCCACAGCTCATCTTGAATTAAATGAACCACTGTGAACCATACCATGCCATCCAAATCAGGTTTCATAACAAAAGCAATTAAAAATCCAGAATTGCACAAGTCACACTGCTTAACTGCTTAACTATAAGAATAAGAAAATCTTCATATGTATTTGAATGTTACAGTAATTCTGGTAGAAAAATTGCATTTGGGGAAAGACTACAAGACTTGAAACACTGTCCATAGAATTTCAACCTGTCTGTGTTATATACTATTTATGTTTCATCTAGCATTTCATCCACCACTATTTAAATTTGCAGTGATTCCTTAATCTCACTCCCATATCCAATAGATCTGCATTCTCCATATAAATTACCCTCTTTTAGCAATTGTGACTTTGTATTTCCTTTTTTCTTCATTTGTCTTGATTACATTCCCACTTGTTGCCAAGGCATGAAAATTACAGACCACTTCAAACAAGGCACACGCTGTTCAGTATTAACTGTTAAATGCCTCTTTCAGCCGTCCAAAGCAGTAAATATGTTATTCTTGTATAGAAGATTAGGGGAGAAAGGGATGCTGTTATGAAAGCAGCAGAAAATATTGTTGATCCCAAGGATCCAGGAATTGGAACTAGGGAAAGTAAAGAATTAATCCTGCATTTAACCTTTATAGAATTAATCACACCCATAAGCACAGAATAGAGCAGTTTACAAGGCATACAGGACTCAGAGCACAAATAATCTCCTAAAATTAGTGCATTTAGCTAGAGCTATGCTCATATGTCATAAATATAGTAGTGGGTACAACATTCAGTTTCCTATTAATGTGATTGTTTTAAAAAGTTCCCAGTGTTTAAGATTACAAAGATATGCTTCCAAAAGTTTGTGGACACAAATAGCTCAGAAGTTTCACAAGGCAGAAAGCTTGTGATTGTGTGAGTTATGCAAAGGGGTCATGCCCCTGGAAAGCCTCTCCATTTAGTAATGGAGTTTGCGTTAAAAAAGTCAAATAAATTATCTTTTCTGGGGAGAGCAGTTGGGTATTAGTATTTTCATTCATCATAACTCTATTGGGATAGAGGTGGGGCTGGGAGGGGATAGTTGTCAAAAATGGTGAAAAGGCACTCCAACCAAGTTGAGAGAATGCAAAGGTTTGTGCTACTACCTTTTTAACCAGTATCAGCACATTTAACCTTGGGTGTTTCTTTGCAGCACAATAAGGATCAAGATTCCTACAGCATTAGTAGTAGTTCCAAGATTTTTATCCATCAGTTTTTAGAGAGAAGGCAGAATGCACAAAATTAACTCTATATGAATGGGTCGAGCATTATTTTTGTTAGCTCCATCTGTAAGGAGGAAGGTCATTGTTCAATGATTATGAAATGAAAGCACACTTTGTGAAATTAGCATTTGCACCTAAATTTAGAATGACTATATTCTGTGGCAAAGCGTGATGGCTGGCTGAATAGCACAAACAAGTCCAAACAAAAGGAGAGCTACTTTTTCCAAATGATTAGAATGCATTGTTCACCTGACAATTATTATGAAATGGAGCCCTCTGGTGCTAGTAGCGGGGACTGAACTTGCAAACTTGCCATTGCCGTGTCTGAGCAGGGCAGGAGGCTGGCGGCAATTCTAGTTAGAGGTAAGGGCATGCACAGTGCCCTCAAAGACATGACATGCTCTGGGCGCAGAATCAGTATATCAGATGCTCCAAGGCAGTGCTCTGTCCAGGCACTGCCCCTGATTTCCGAAAGAAAAACAAAACTAAAGGGGAAATATGCAAAGGTTACTTGTGTTATAGACAATGATAAGAGGACTAAAGGCTTGAGTGTTTTCTCCCCTTTATTACATCATTGGGGTTTTTTTTTTTTGAAAAAGCCAACAGTGATTACTTTTCCTCCCTCTCTCATCTGTTTTCTAAACAAACAAAGTACAAGGCCATTAAAATTATTTAACACAATTCCATCATCTGCTTTAACTACAAGGCTATGTGATGTGTTGAACTGAGAGAGGGGGATAGGGAAGAGAAAGAAAAGGAGAGAGAAAATGAACAAAGACACAGTACAGTTGCCTTGTGGGAACCAGCACAGTATCTATTCTGACATAGCACACTGAAGATGCACAGTTAGCTGTTTGCCCACTTCTGATTCAGGCAAATGTCTTTTGCAAATGTCATAAACACCATTATGCCTTCAAGCATATATTGTTCAGACTCAGCTTTGAGTCTACAGCCAGCTTCAACTTATCACAGCTTCTCCCTATATCCAGCTCCCACCCTCTGGGTACTATGTGGAGAGCCATGCAGGACATCAACGCTCAAGCAAAGTGCCAGTCTCTTCTCCACCAGTTATTTGGACTGCACAGAAAGCAAGTGCCATCAAGAAAGAACACAAGCTCACACTCTTGTGCGCATACATGGTTTATAAAAGGTGACCTGCAAAAGGGATGAACAATTGCACTCTCTCCAGAGAGATGAAAGCCTTCCCCGTAGGTTAACTGGCTTGTTACCCACTAACTTGTTATCCTGTTTTCTGTCAGGTTACACTGATGTGTTGCCTGGATTGGTAGAAAACAGTAATGATCCAAGAAAGATGCCAGAAGTGCAGAGATAGCAATTCAGAGTTCAGTGATTTTAAACATCTTCCAGCAGCTGTGACTAAAGAGTCTTTTTGACAATATAAAGTCACCACCTATGTGGTTCTGGTTTAAAAGCACACCTTAAACCTTCTGAAAATATTGAAGGAAGTGTTCCACCAAAGCAAAAAACAACACTGCCTGTCCTACCTGCAAGCAGACGGCAAGCCCTTATTAAGACTTGGTCACCTTCAAGTATTAACAAAAGCCTAGCCACTTTCATTTTAAAATCCTTTGCAGGTCCCATTGAGGCTATACTAGCACTGAGGAAAGGGGGATAAATTTTATTTTGTGCTGGCAGGTGCTGGCCCCTTGTGCGAACAGCAACCAAAAATCTCCTACAATAAAACTGTCACACATCTATGTCGTCCACAACCGTGCAAACACAAATAAAGAAGAGAACAACCATCAACGTAAGTGTATGTCTGCTGCCAACAGCTGGATACCAGAGCAGTATCTTTTGTTGTGTGCACCAGATGTTTTGCACAACAACTGGATGCCTGGGAAAATGTGATCCTATTGCATTTTTGGTTCTCCTCAAAGGCTGTAACTACTAAGTTCAGTCCGGTTAAGTTGCGGGAAGGCCCTTGAGGTGTGGCCTGGCAAATTAAAATCCCAGCAGAAGAGTCAACTTGTCAGAGACGGGCAGCCAGGCCTGGCAACACAGGTCAACCAGAGACACTGTAGTTTGGCACTGAAATAACAATGGAAACAGCAGCTGGGGTCTATCTGAAAGAGGATGGATTGTCGTGGCAGTACATCCTGTTTCTTACAAAAGTGCTGTCTAGCAAGAAGGGTCCGTAGCCCACATTCCACAAGTTACTTTTGGAGTTATGATCACTGAAGTTAAGACATCTTCATTGTAGGAGGATGGTATTGAGTCATTAGAGGGGCAGTTCAAGAGCTCGCTTGGGGTCAGAGGCGTTCAGGTCAGTCTCTTGTGCCAATTCTGAAAGTGCAGTAACAGTACAGAAAGAAATGGCATGAATAGAAGAGGTCTGCAATCATAACAGGAACTTAAATATTCTATTAATAGTAGTTGCTGTATTTCAAAAGCCAAAGCTCTTCCCAACAATACAAACGACAGACAGTAAAAGACAATAAAAATATCATAAAAACAGAAAAAACATTTAAACAGTTTAAAACAAGCAACTACAAAAACTGAGACTGTAACATGCCTCGAAAAGGTAAACCCCTTAAGCCCCTGAATATCTGAGTTAGTTTTTAAAGATCATAAAGGGCCATCTCAACCTGGTGCCAAAAAGATGACAAATTTGGCACCAGCTGGGCCACAGTGGGGGGGCTGTTTCATAGATGAGGGGAGCATCATGGAGAAAGCCCTCCCCCTTGTTGCCACCCTGTGGGCACTTGGAGAAAGACCCCAGAATTTGAGCAGAGTGTCTGAATAGACTGTGGTTGAGAGAGGTGCTCCAAGAGGTACTGAGGTCCCAAACCATTAGGCTTTTTAGATTAGAACTTATGTGAAAGCTTCTGTGCATTCCTTGCTAACAACGTTATCTTCAAAATGTAGATTTTAAATTCCTTGGGACAGGAACCTGTCCTTTTACTATGCCACTTGTAAAGTATTAATTGCATTTATATTGCTGTGTAAATATGCAAGTATTAACATGCACATCCCCTGCCAAACAGCTGCCTTTCCTTAGTGGGACTTAGAATTAGCAGGAAAATCTTTCCATAGGTGTCTTTCTAGTAGACCAGGAAAGTTTAAGTCCCCGCAAGAGGCAAGATCTACTGCCTGCCGTGTATTTTAACATCCACACTTAGTTTTCAATCCTAAGAAGGGTCATTGGAAGAACAGCCTATGTTATGCTTAGAAGGATGTGATGACCCTGCAACACAAGGAAATGGAGAAATTTGGGGTGGTATTGTAGCGACAGCTGGACAAAAAAGACATGGAGCCAAATAAAATGCAGGTGCCTTCCATCATTAGAAGCACCAGAGAGATCTTCCCAGCTGGGAGCCCAGGCAAATATGCCACCAGCCCAAAAGAAGAGCACAGGATCCACTTGGGAAGAACGACAGCACTTTAAGCAGCAGGGTAGCACTATAAGTAGCCAGGTAACAGAATCCTCTTGCATGCCGTTTCCCCCCCCCCAGGAAACAGTCTTAGAATAACATACCTCCCTCTGAAAGGGTAAGTTTCTCCAACTCTGCTTCCAGCTCTGCATCTGAAACGTTTGGAAGTACCACAGAGGTAGGAAATAATGGCTTCTGTGGGATGGAAGGCAGGTCCAGAAGGTCTTTTGAAGAGTCCAAGAGGAGACGGTCCAGTTCCTTTTCCAGTTCCTCAGTATCAGCTTCTATGATCAGAGATCAAATTAATTTCTTTCAGACATGCAGCTCAATCCTAGGTACATTTACTCACAGTTAGGACTCATAGTTAAATAGGGCTTCCAACCAAGCAGCTTCCAGTAGAACTGCAAGATGAGCTCAAGAGGAAGAGAACTTGAGGCCAGCCCAAGCCATTCTGCTGTCTCAAGAGAAGGGAAATATGATACCTCTTCCCATGACAAGTGTAGAGGCGGCGTATATCAGTAGCTGAACCTGACTTTAGCTGGCATGAAAATCTTCCAGGGTGCCTGGGGCTGCACAGTACTCACGGCCCTGTCCTCTAGCAAGCCATCACAGCGCCTTCCCTCCTGCCTGCAGCACCTGCTGCCTGAGGCTGCCGCCACCCAAATGGCACACCGACCCCTGATGAAGTCATGCCCCAGGATGCATCCACAACCTTCTCAAGTCCCTTAAGATGTGGAGGAGTTAGGGGCAGACTCTCTTATTCTTTTGAACTCTGCCTGGTTCTTCCAACCAATGCAAATGTAACCCACGACTACCAACAAACTTATGTTGGTTTTCTATGGCAAATATAAATTGCTTTTATAAAAGAAGACCTGCCTTTTCAATGTAAGCCTTTCAGGGAAAGCATTCCCACCCATTTTATTACCCAAATATGAGTGGGTGGAAGCTTTGATTTTTAAACAATGCCCCACGTAAACAGACTACTTGCTTAGAAACAATGATGAGCAGTTCACAGAGCAAGCTCAGAAAATAAAAACACTGGCTAAGACACTTCACACAAAACACAATACCACTTAAACCAATGGTAGTGATACTTGCTGCACTGATGCACAAACCATGAAAAACTTGGTTTGTTACTATTTTTCTTTAACTAGCCATGGCCATATTTTTAATTTCACTGAAGATTTCTTTGATAATTCTTGTTCAAATCTTGTGCAGGTGTTTGCAAAAAATATTGAAACAGTGATATAGTAGTCAGATATCACTAGGGAATAAAGGGTGGGCAAAACAAGGTCAGAGGTGGATATGTAAAAATAATCAGCCAGTTTCATTCCTAACAATCAAGTCTTCCAGTAGATACCAATCAAGGCATTACAACTATGGGGCCCAATTCACACAGGCAAAAACTGAAGCAGCAGGCTCCACAATCCCCGGATTTGGATTGTCTAATGGAGACAATCTTGGAACTTAACTAGTTTTGACTCACCTGAACCATTAATTCCTGCTCCTGCTAAGGTTTGGGCTATTTCATCCTGGGTGTCACAAAGCTGGGAAAGACACAAGTTAAATAATAATTACATTTTTATCCTACCTTCCTTCAAATAAGTTCAAGTACCTTCCATATATCTACTTTAATCTCAACAAGGTAGCTCAGGCTACGAGACTGAAATCAGACCACAATCTTCCAGTCCAAAGCAACTGCCACGTGAATCCAGTTCATGCTCCCCTCTCTTTGCCTGTGTGGTAAAGTACCTCTTGAATCTGATCCACCAAACTCTCCGCCTTTTCCACAGTGACGTCTTTCATAGACAGCTTCAGGGCACCCACTCCAGCCTGATAGGCATTAAATACCTCATGGAAGGAAAGAAAGTGGACCGTCATTTCAAGAGCCCCTTCATCAGCCTGTTGCAGTACTTCTGCCATAGCTGGCCTGCTGCAAGAATGGCAAAGCATGCAGAAATACCAGGCAGAATCCATGAATCACAGGGTGCACCATGCCCTGTAGCAGGCGCACGTGCAATGCCCAGCCATAGAGAGGCCAAGGACGATACATGCACCTCATCAGACAGACAGATTAGAAATAAACATAGAGATATGAGCTGCCCAGAACAAGCCCAAGGTCACCAGTCACCCAGCGAGGCAGGGGAAAGGAAGTGGGAGCAAGAGGAGAGAGCTGACTTAAACACGGCAAAAAGCGGGATACCATCTGATCTGTTTGAGAGGCGTATATCCGATCCAGAATGCCTTGTACAACATCCAGCTTGGAGTGAAGTTCTGCGATCCGTCTTTCTGTCCTTCGCTTGGATTTCAAACACCTAAGCGCCTAAGAACATATCAGCACTGTTTTGATGAAAAAGCAAAGAGGAAGCCTGAACGACACCCTATCTTACACAATAACTTCAGTGCAGAAAAACAGACACAGAGGGTGGTTTTCGCTTCCTCTCAATGTGTAAACTAGTGGTCTAAAGCACAGTATACAGACATCATGGAACGCAAAACCCCAAATGTGATAATGGCCACTTGTAGGACGGTCTTTCTGCTGGAACCGAAGAAAAAATCATTGCACATCTTCTTGCTCTCCTCCTATAACATTTCAGTGCTATAGATTAGGATGTACAGCCTTTAAGAAGTAGAAGAAAAGATCATGATGTGGCAACTCACTGTGCACAGGGGAAAAAAGTACTATCCTGGTGTATTTCACTTGCTCACTATGGAGGACTCACTTGTCTTGTAGTCCCCCTTAGCACCACCATTAAATGGTAGTGATGACCACTTATGTCACTATATTCTACAGGTAAACTGGTAAGTACTATTAGCTGAGGGAAGAAGATATTGAATGCAAGAAAATGCAGCTTTTCTTGAGAAGAAGTTGAACCTTGAGGGAGGGCAGTACTTACCACCTGCTTTTTCCCAGCTTTACACGCACTCCGAGCTTCTTCTTTATATCTACAAAAGCGAAGTGTCAGCAGCTCAGTTACTTAGACTGGGGGCAAGTGACAATCCCTCAGTCATTCTTCCCACATTTTTGGCCTGTTCTCAGCACTGCTCCTGAGCGCTTCTCCCATGCTTCTTTCTATCCAGTGATCAAACCACTTCCCAGTAATGTCTCACCGACTAGCAACAGCAACACGCCCTACCGCACTTTTGTCCTACTGGCGTTAAGGAGCAGAGTTATCCCTTGCCTCAAGGAATACAGCTTAGCAATGCCTTACTTGTAGCAGAATTGGCAGTTTTTGCAGTGATAAAGGACACACACCCCGAATTACCTCTCTGCTTCTTGGGCCAAGGATTCCACTTTCTGTGACAGCAACTGTTCACTTTGCATTAGTTGATAAACCCCAATGTCCACATCATTCACTGGAGATACTTTGGCATGCAGACCACGAGCAAATTTCATTATCTGCAAAAGAATGTTGTCACTGGATTTAAGCCGTATGGTTCAACTGTCTCTTATTTGCCAGGAACAAAATATATTTTTCTGATACCTGTCCATGGTAAACCAGTGTCCTTATTTTTGTCTGGGCTTGTGTCAGGTTTCGACCTATTTTGCCCTCACCTTTAGAAATTAAATATCTTGTGTTCTGGGGATGAGCCGTCTTGTGTTTTTAAAGCAGCCTTCCCTAACCTGGTATCCTACAGAAGTTTTGTATGCTATTCTCACCTGCCCTCAGCACTGTTCATGTTGACTGTGGCTGATGGGAGCTGTAGTTCAAAATATTGGAAGAGTTCCATGTTGGGGAAAGTTGCTCTAATGTACATGCATGAACATGAAGGAGACACATTGCACCCAAAGTGCTCTTTCATATACCAATCACATTCATTTTGAATCCAGTGCTAAGAAATTGTAGCACAACTGGCAGAGGGAGGTTAGCATCTCTTTAACCAAAAGAACAAACACTTCTTGGTTTCTGAAACAGTATGGGAAAGCTATTATAGAGTAACTGGATACAGGAAAATGGAGTAGGTGGAGCCGAAAAGCATCACAGTATAGGGAAGTGGCGATTCTTGGGATGAAAATAAAAGGTGTTACAATTATGTCCCTATTTCCACCTGTGAAATGCTGGAAAGCGAAAGTATTCATACTTCAAGTTGTTTTGCTTTGGGAGCTCTCATCTCTTGTGTTAAGCTATTCTTCATACAACTTTAATGTATCGGCCATCCTTAATACACTGCAGGTGCCATAACCCAGAACACACCAACATATCACTAAAGACAAAGAAGGAAGGGCAAGGAAGGACTTGCCCAGAAGTTTGTGCTGCAGTCTATCCAGAGAGATGGCAAACTGACAACCAACAGCAAGATCTTGTTTTCCACAACTTAAGAACTTCTTCATTTCTCCCCCAGCCTTCCTTGTATCAGCTATCTTGTTAGTACAAGATGGATAGAATTTGCACCTCCAGACAATACCTACTATAGCAGAAGGAAGAAACATGCTGCCTGGGGCACAATTTTGAACCTAGAAGGTTTTTTTATTAATCTCAGCTGCATTTGTTCATTCAGGAAAACACAGTGCGCTTCTTCAAGAATTGGGTTTTGTGCTGCAATTCTTAGCCAAATAAATTTGAATTCCCATATATCCAGACTTTTATGTAGTTGTAAAACAAAGAGACAGAACATGCCTTATTTCCGGCCCAACGTTCCTTGTTTCCACTGTTATTTATGAAATGACAAGTGCATATGAAAGCAACTATCTACTTTTATTATTTGAAGTCTCCAACTTAAATGCTCTAGATCTTCCTTGCTACCTTAGATTTGGATTTTCATGTTAGAAGGGAGTTTTAAGTTAGAAGCGTAAGCCTGTTGTTGAATTACTGCAGGCCAAATTCCAAGTAGGGTTGAGAAGACTTCCCCAAAAGACAGTTTAGCTTTGTACCTTATTGCCATTCTGTTCCAGGACTGTTACCCTCTTTTCCTTCTGCAGCTGGAGCAGCACCAGACAGAATGTTCTTTCATCTGGACAGACACTGTTGCACAGGGAGCGCAGCTCTGATAGGCCAACAACAGGGTGTGAAGAAAGTGTGGAATTCTGGTACAGATTATACACTTCTTCTGCCTTCTCCTAAACAAACAAACAAACAATAGCATAGAACTCTACTTCCTGTCTGTACAGTGTTGCCAAACAAACCAATCCCCAATATATTAACACGGCTCAGTTAGGGAAAGCCACAACTACAGCTTACATTTTCATCATCTAAAATTGTCCTATCATCCACCGTATGACCTGAAACAGAGGACTGTCTTGATCAGCAGTTTTTACTATACAGCTGAAGGGCTGAATAAGTGCACAGCAGGCAGTCTAGCAATTATTTATTTATTTATTTATTTATTTATTTATTTTCGATTTATATCCTGCCTTTTTCCTACAAAGGGCTCAAGGCAGCTTACATCATTCTCCTCCTCCATTTTATCCCCACAACAACAACCCTGTGAGGTAGGTTGGGCTGAGAGTCTGTGACTGGCCCAAAGTCACCCAGTTGGCTCCATGGCTGAGTGGGGACTAGAACCCAGATCGTCTGAGTCCCAGTCCCATACTCTTAACCACTACAACACACTCACCTACTTCTGGCACCCAAACCACAGAAAAGAATGTTAAAAGAATAGAACAAGTATTTGTATGGGATCTGGAAGCTCCAGGCTACAAAAAAAAAAAGGCAGCTGTTGTGTTGAATGGATATGCTTTTTCCAACTCAAAGCACCATCTCTCTATTAAATGTAGCACTCAGTGCTTTGAAGCTCACATTATTTCCACATGATGTATATATTTCATCAGTTACAGCAGAGACGATACAGGAAGGAAGAACACTGTCCTGTTCCATGTGGTTCCTTCTCCTTCTGAATTGTTTTCATTCAAGCAGGTCATTAAAAAATGAGTGTCTGAGTTTGTTCAGGTTCCTCTTTCTTACCCACCCCTTTCTTCTCTCTCTTTCTCTGTGTGTGTGTGTGTGTGTGTGCGCGCGCATGTGCGCGCACGTGTACATGTGTGTGTGTGGGAGCAAGACCTGTCTTGTCTGTTATTGATTTCATGTACAGAGTCTTGCTCTGGAATACCTTTCAGCTGAAAAGCAAAATAAAAAGCTTTAAATGGAGCTTCTGGTGGGCTCTCCAGGCAAAAAAGTTGAGCTTCTCTGCCCCAGTTCAGTGAATGCCACAACATCCAAAGCCCAGGCATGGCAGGAGAAGCACAAAGGGCAATCAAAACAAACACCACTCTCCACGCCATGCCCACAAACTTGGATCCCATCCGATCCCCCCACATGGAGCCAGAAGCAAGAATGGGTCACCAGCCTATACATTTCATTCACAGTAAAGGAAGCTGGAGGAGGTTGGGCACCAAAGGTGGCAACCCCTCCTTGCCTCTTCCTCCAAAAGAACAGCTCTGATCCTCTCCTGGTTCATCCTCGAGGCCAGAGCCATGAGCAATAAAGAGCACACAACCCAGGCCCCAACATTAGCAAACGTGGCAACCTGGAAAAAGAAAGAGTAGGTGAATTTAAACAAAAGCCCTTCAGGAAGGTATGGATGCCATGAGGCAAGAAATGGAGAAGCTGAAAGCTATGGCAGACAAGGCCACCACACAAGTGGGACCAAAAAAAATATGTGTGCATCAGATATAGGTTCATAATAGGGTCTTGGATGCAAATATGCAATGCTGCCAAGGGGATCTGGCAATTTAGCAAAACAAAGTTGTTGATCTGGAAGGACATTGCAAACAAGGCAATCTGAGTTCAACAGGCATGTGGGGGCAAGTAACATGATAGACTTTGTAACAGCTTTACTGAAAAACATTTTAGCATCAGATGAAGTCTGTGTAATGCTGCCCAAATAGTTCAAAGCCCATGATGTCCCCATACACCATAATATTCAAATAGATAAGCGATCCACCTCTACCAAGAGCAAAACAAAGGGACCTCTAATTTGGGGCAATGTATAACGCAATACTCTGCACTCTTTTTTATATGTCACAGCAATGCAGTCCACCCCTTTGAAGATACTGAACTTGTGGAAGGATTAAGACATAACACCACAGAATAATATAGCATCTCGTGCAACAGCATCATATACTAAGTCCTGAATCTCCTGGAAACAAAATTTTAGATGCAGACTTTTACACTTACACCAGCCTTTTCCAACTTGCTCAACATAAGTGCTGGGGTAGACCAGAACAGGATCAGTCCAGAATACTCTGGAATGCTGGCCCAACTAAAATAAGACTTACCATAGACATCTTTGACAGTAAGAAGCAATTCATGAAGACTATGCAAACTAAACAACCCAGTAAAACTTACTTGCATGCCAATGGCGGGAGGGGGTGGGTTCAAATCACAGAAAGAGGCTATGCACAGAGAAAGTTGATGCTCTAGTTTACTTGCGGAAGTTACAGAGAGTGAAAAGAACTATGGGTATAGAACACCAGCAGAAGAACTGTCAAGCTTGGAGCTTAATGTTTATACCTTATAGCACCTCACTCCATATTCAGCACACTTTCGGAAGTAGGAGGAAAACCTCAAGCTTAACTTTTATACTTAAGCTTTTAACAGTATTTAAAATACCCTCTACACAAGCAATAACTGACTGCCAGAAAAGGCAGTGGACAGTGACAACTACATCCACACCAGCCTTTCCGGAAAGTTAGATAGAGTGGCTAGCATTGGAAACTGGCTACTCACAGGGAAGGAGAGGAGGAAGGGGTTTATAAGACAGTAGTGGGCAAAGTAAGAGACTGTGTTCTTTAATCATCCTTGCTTTCCACTTCTTTTTATTTTCCCTTCTTCTTCCCCTCATGTTAAAATCAATCCCTCTTTATACCATAGGGTTCTAGAATATCATACCAAGCAGAAAAAGAAAAAAGAAGCAATAATTGATGGGACCGAGGATCCCCAGGGTCAGTTACAGAAAGACAAAGGAACTGTTAAATCGCTTCTCATGCACATTTCCACTCTGTGGAAATAACGCATCCCTGAACAAGGAGTCAGTAGATTCTTGCAGCACATTCAAATGCTGGGTCTTCTTGGAAGCCCAAAAGAAGTATTTGCTTGACTTAACCTGAAAGAGGAATTAATAAAAAGCCCAGAAGCTGGCAGAACACCTGAGACAGATGGCCACGCCATGGCTCAAGGACAGAATAGTTCCAGTACTATTAGCAAGAAAAACTGAAACAAAATGCCTGCCAGGTCATATGTACAATGCCAGTATTCCCCTTATTGTCAAGCCAGACACATAACCTTCTTATAAGTGTAGCTGTCAACATCCTAACAGCTCGCGTTGTTCATGACTCGGTGAGTGCCTCTCTAATGTCATACATCCAGATCAAGTAGCTTTGTACCAGTAAGATAAAGGGCAGACCAGAGGCATCTGTGGTTCAACATTACAGCAGCTGCAGTGCTCCTCTTATTGCTGAGAGGGCCTCTGATTGTGTCAGGCACAGATTAAGCATCTCCCCCAATTCATAGATGGGCTCTGTGTAATATATACACATCCAGATCCCTGACAAGTAACCTCTGACAAAAACCTACTCCACTGCACTCTGGTGTACATCAGGGATGCCCACAGTTTTCAGTGCTCTTCAGCACAGCATCTGAGCCACTGTCGTGTGCCACTGAACAAACAGGCAACTTTCAGTATCAGAAGCATCATGCCTACATATACTACCTGCTCAGGTACATGAACAGAAAGATGCAGTTGCAGTCGTATCTTACTTGGGGCAACATGGACATTTGGTCTAATGCCTTTCTTACATTCTTAATGACTGCAGACCAGTAATATAAAATTTCACTCTTTGTAGATGGTGCTCTGCTCTTCTTTCAGATCCACTAACATTTATCCAAAAGCTAATGTCCCTGATTGGCTGTTTCAATTAGCTCCCAGGCTACAAAATTAAGTGGCTATGGTCAGAAATGTGTAATTCATTAAAAACCTCTAGAAAGTCAGTAATAAGCTATTCATAACCAAAAATGATTTAAATAAGTAAGCAAGCAATATTAATTTTAAGGTTAACTCCAAGGTCTGGAACTTGAACGGTTCTTCAGGTGTGAAGAAAAATGGAGGTGTTCAAATATTAAAACCAAAACAAAAAAGTAACAAGCCTGTTTATTTCCACTTTCTTTCATTCCTTATTACAGTAGGTCAGTCATCTCTCCAAGATACAATTATGCTTGAGGGTCACAGGGTGAAAAGAAAAACTAGTTATTTCTGAAATGAAAGTGTGCCTGATGAAAACATTAGTGTTTGAAATGTAAACATTTCCTCTTTTAGACCAGACTTGCTTAGCAGTGTTATTTTGGATAATCCTACCTTTTCCTGAGGAGCTGCTGTTGCCGATTTCACCATTTCCTCAAACATATTATAGCACATGTTTACGGAAGTGAATTGGCCTACAGCTATTTTCCCACTCTCTAAAGATCTCTAGTGAAAACATGATCTAAATCTGAAAGATATATACGTTGCTTTTGTTGGGACACTGCAGCCCACATGGGTGAGAAAGTCAAACATTTTCAAAAATGGTTTTTGAATATTTAAGTTTGATAATGCTATATTTTCTACAAAACTTTATTTGCAAAGTGTTTGCTTTTCCAGGGATACAGGGATCTGTCCTACATGTTTACTTCAACAAAATGTTCAGTTAATCAGAATTGACTAACTGGCTTATTTTATTATTTATTTATTTATTAAAACATTTCTATGCCGCCCCTTGCCGAAGCCTTGGGGTGGCTCACAGCACAAATAAAATACAATAAACTACAAAAATAACAATATAAAATTAACAATATAAAATAAATAACAATATAAAAGAAGTCACTTATAGCAACTATGCTGAAATGATATTTGAACGACTGAGTATTTTACTAAAGCTGCACTTGCATGGGACAAGTTGTACAAGAGGAAGCATAAATGTGTGCTTAGAACAAAACAGAAGATACAATAAAGTTAGGTATGTAAATAACTTGATAACAAACCAACATATCTGATCTGTTAAGGCCAACTTAATTTTTTTCTCATGTTGAGAGGCACAAAACACAACAGCACAGTTCAAGTTAGTAAATTTCCCATTTTGCATGGGATTCTTGCATGCTGCTACATAGGTGGATCTCTATATCAGAGAGATAACTAGCATTGTCAGTTTTAACATGCTAAATTATATTGTTATTTACTTTATATTGTTAATTTTATATTGTTATTTTTGTAGTTTATTGTATTTTATGCTGTGAGCCGCCCCGAGGCTTCGGCAAGGGGCGGCATAGAAATGTTTTAATAAATAAATAAATAAATAAATGCCTGCTCAGTGATGGCACGATTTACGACTGTCATGCATGTCCCAAAGAGTTCACATTAGGATCCAGCAAGAAGCACACAGCCCACCCTGCAGGATGTCATCCTGTCTGACTGCTGTACTGCTTCGCGTACAAAAGAAATGATCCAGACGATGATCCCTGCTGGATCAAGGTGCACATGCATGTTTCACAAAGAGGCATTCACATACTCAGAAAAAAGATCCCAAGAAAGGACTATATAATCTTTTGTTGATCTTATGTGTCCAGCTACAAAGCCTGGGATCCCCTTTTTGGCACAACAGTTGGCTGCAAGTTTCATTTTAAGTTTGGCAGCAACCAGAATCAGTCTACACCCCACAAAATTACAGCTGCAGTAAAGGCAAGCTCATAATTATTGCCTGTAAACATGTCCTCTTCCTCATGGCTCCTTTTTAAAGAACTACCACATGACAAAAAACTAATATGGTATTACATATTCACATATCATACATATTGACTGAAGCTATGAGAGTCAGTGTGGTGTAATGATTAAGAGCACGGGACTGTGACTCAGGCGATCTGGGTTCTAGTCCCTGCTCAGCCATGGAGCCAATGGAGTGACTTTGGGCCAGTCACACTCTCAGCCCTACCTACCTCATGGGGTTGTTGTGGGGATAAGATTGAGTGCAGCAGGAAAATAATGTAAACCGCTTTGAGCCTTTGGACAAAAAAAGTGGGACATAAATCTAATAAATAAATGAATTACAAGAGGCTCCTTATAAAAAGAACAGAATAAGTTTTATATTTAGTGTCTTAAGCATAATTAATAGAAGATACAAGCTTTGTGTCAAACTATTAATAATATAATGCCATTAAGATTAACAAGACCAGGTACAAGGCTGAGCTTCTACACATTCTAAAGTAAGTGTCTTTACAAGGCCAAAATGGCATTTTATCCTATATATTAATAGCACTCATTCTCCAAACATCGATTCTTACATTAGCCAAAAGGGAGGTATCAGCAAGCAGGGGAGAATTTCAAGGTCTGCAAAAGTAACCAAAACAAAATTAAAAAATCGCCCTAAGTGAGAGGTGGAAGGGGAAGAACTAAGAAATGGAGCATCTTGAAGTCAAGCATGATGACTGGCTGCCCCCCTGAAAAAGAGCACTCCACAATGCAACATTTTGTTGCAGGTCCCTCTGGTTAACACAATACAGCAACATTGTTTGACTGTAGCAGAAGGCTATGCAGAATTGTAACAGCAACAGTTTTAACTATTTAACATGATATTCTGACAATCCATTTCAAAACTGTGCACGTACAAATATAAATCAGTGATTTAAGGGGATACCTGAGAGGCTATTATGAGAATGTTTAGCAGCCCAGCTGGACTAACACAGTGAGATACCAACTTATATTGCAGATGTAAAACAGCCACATTGCTAGTGATCCCGAACAGACGTATGAATCAATATTTTAATATCAGTTGACCGAACATCTATCATGAACAGGAAGACAGAGGCTGAGTTTATGTGAAAGCCTTTCTGTGTGATCCTCTGAACACAGATCAAGAACAGTCACAGGTCTCTTCATGTCTTTTTCACATTTTTTAAATCATGGCCTAAGCAAAATATGCCATGGCACAAGGTAATATTTTTTATTATGGCATAAGCAAAATGGATCAAGGACACCCAAATTCTTCACAGAAAGTGACCTTCAACCTACCTGAAGCAACTCCACATAAATCAGAATTTCCTCCTCCTCTGGCACTTTGCTGTCACCTAACACACTAGACAAGGTCCACTTCAGTGGCTTCAGAATAAAGACTCCCACGCCCCAGGAGATCCAGCTGCTGTCTACACTGGCCATGAAGTCAGACTCCCTCTGCAACTTCCCACGTCTGATGAGGGAGAGAGAGAGGAGCAAATATAATGAAGTGCAGCAAAAGCAAAAGGGATACTTATCTAAATTCACACACACACAACCTTGTTTGCTTGCCATGCTGCATCTTTCTTCTTCTGTGGAGGAGTGAGAATGATAAATACAGAGAACACACTGTGCAGATTTATGCTTTTGGGGCTTGGGGAGTTATGTATATGTCTGAAATCTGTATGCAACTGAAGAGTTTCTCTTAAAGACCTTGAAGCTTTGTTTGGAAGAGAACACTATGGGCTACTGAGGAAGCAGGACTTGTTGTAGACCTCGGGCATTAAAACAGTGAGAGAAAATGCCAATGGTCATAACAAAAGCAGTGTGTCAGGCTTAGTAAGGGATGATTGTCAAAAAAGAAGCAGCTGTACATGTGCACACATAGGAAGCATAGTATGTGCCATACATATGTGCAATTCTCCCAACAGAATTACATTAAGTCCTTGTTTCTCCCTTCTAGGAATTCATTTCTAAAAATAGCACAATGTGGGAAAATAGCTTGACTCCACTTTGCTGACTCAGGCAAGTGTCATTCTCTCATTGAATTTATGGTGTCCATGAAAAGCCTGTATGCAGGTGCTCTGAAACATCAGTTATTAAAACATTTTAGACTTCCTAGTAAGTTCATTGTCAAGCTAATCCATGTTGATGCTGCATGCTTAAGATGTATTCTCTATTTTTTCTACTGTTCCTTATCTCTACTTCTCAATAAACTCTATGAACTAATTGAACTGGACCACCTGAAACAGCATGAATGAGCAACCCACGTAACTGCCGTTCTAAGGAGAGGAAGACTGAAGTGAACAAGCCGAGTCTGGATTGCTTGGTTTTAGTAGACTCAGCATTACTTTCCACCTCTCTGAAAATTCAACAGATTTATACAGCCCTAACTCAGAGTTATGGGATAATAAGGGCTGCTGGAACCACTAGTCAAGAATAATCAACAGAAAAAAGTTCATTCTTTCTGAGAGATAAATGTGAATATGTGCATGCTCCATGATAACATATCTATTGTTTCCTTGGCCTGGAGGTTAAGGTGAATATCTTAACTGACAATTTCTGCACTTTTTTATTCATGAATGGATTTGTTAGCACCTTCTCTTATATCAGACATGTGTATATATTTAAAATTTTATTAACCATCCTTTACCTACATGGGATTCCTGTGTGTTACACTTATTATAGACAACAAATAAAAATACAAATATAGTAACATTGAAAGAGAAAAGACATACAAATAATGCAACCAGTGAAGATTTTTTAAAGCATCAAATATTAAAATGCCCGAGCAAATAAGAACAAGCAAGTTTGGTCCCAATTGTATCTCATTTGGAGGGCAATTCCAAAGTCAGGGTACTGCTATAGAAAAGACCCTTTCTTGTAATCCTAGAAGTAATATTCTGAATGCAATATACATTAGGCCTAAATTTAGTATTAATTTCATTAATGGTCATTATAAGATATAAACAGAGGTCTGAATAGTTTAGAGCCAATTTATTCAAATGTGTACCCTAAAACCAGTCTTACTTCCTGGTGCAAAAGATTACTGTATACCTTTTCAGTTTCCCATATGTGAGGAACTCCTTTCCCAAGAACTCTATTCTCCCCCTCCTTATGTTGCCTTTAAGCAGTTCTTTAAAAAAAATCATCCAGAATTCATATTGATCTTATCACTGCTCCCCTATACATGTTCTCTATCAGATACTACTTTTTCCTATGTTCATTCAGTGGCTTTATTTTTTAACATGCTATTAACTACTTAGGGAGATCTTGCCCTAGAATGTGAGCTGGAAATAGAAAAACTAAATACATTAAGTCCTGGTCTCTTTTCTTGTGTTTACTTAATGTATTTTAGGGCACCTTAAAAATATACAAACTGAAGAATGATTGGGCCAGAGGGCCTTTGTGGACTCCACATATTCATCAGTTGCATGTAGAGTTATTCCCAGATACCACAGGAATGAAAGAGAACGATTTCACAGGGGTGGGATGTAACTGTGTGGTCAAAGGCCGTGTAACACAGAACAAGTAGTTCTGAATATGAGATCAAGAGAATTCAGTCTCAGCACAGTAACCATTCACAATATTGTCTGCAGTGGACTGAGCATGTTAGCCTGTTTCTGCAAAAATGAGAGCCTTGTTAAAGAAAGGACATTTTGCTAAAGCACCAAAACTCTGTCTTGTTGTTATGGAGACAAACAGATTGAGATTATCATTTGATCCATGGAGTTACTAACGTCATGTACCTCCAAAAGACAAAAGTCACACTTTAACAGATGTTAAAGTGCAGGTTAGAAAACTGTAAACAGAGAAGGGCCTTCTCTACGGTGGCATCCCGGTTAGAGAGGTTTACCTGGCACCAACACTTTATTATTTTCGGCACCAGGCCAAAACCTTTTTATTTTCCCAATATTTTAAGGCTCAATTGTTATTTTAATTGGGGTTTATAAAAGATGCGATGCTGTGCTCTACTTTATTTATTGAAAGACCGTCCTGAGACTCTTTGTAATAGGACAGGGCAGAAAAGCTTTAAATAAATAAATAATAGAAATGAACAAACAAAAATTAACTCCATATAAACACACAAACATAAACAAAAGTTGGTGAAAATTGAATTTTATCTGGCCAGGGCGGCTTATTTTATAATGTGAGTTTTAATCAAGATTATTTTATATGGATTTTAACTTGTTTTATCTATGTTGTAAGCCGCCCCGAGGCTTCGGCGAATGGGGCGGCATAAAAATGTTTTAATAAATAAATAAATAAATAAATAAAATGGAAGCAGGTCTCGCTCGCTCGCTCGCACAGACACACAAAGGCTCTGCCATGCCTCAAAAACCTGCCATGTCGCCCCCTCCTTCCTCCAGAAGCCTCACCAGCTGCCTGCGAACTCACCCCCCCGCCCCCGTGCTCAACAGTCCCGGAACGTGCGCTCTGCACGCGCCCAGAGGCACTCTTGCGCCAAAAGTGGGTCGCGGGGCTGAGACGCTTCAGCGGCCTCCCGCCCCCCCACTCGCAAAAATAGATCAAAGCGAATGAGCGCAGGCGGCGGTACCTGAGCAGCTCTCGCAGGACGGTGCCCAGCCCCAGGGGCACGCTGCCCCGCCGCTCGAAGGCCTGCTGGAGCTCGCGGAGACAGGTGCGGACCCCTCCCCGGCGGCGTCCCCACTTCAGCACCAGCTCGCTCCAGAAGCCCATCTTGCTGTCCCACTCGGTGGCATTGACTTCCCGGCTCTGCTTGAAGGCCGAGAAGAGGAAGGCCATGCGCTCCTCGTCCGTCTCCCACTCCGGGGGCAGGTCCCCTTCCGGGGCTGGCGCGACCCGCGCCTCCTCCGGCGAAGACATCCACGCGAGCCCCCGGCTTCAAGTGAGGCCTAGTCCCCTTAGCTTGTCCCTGGCCAGGCGTTTCCTCAGCGACAGAACCACGCATGCGCCTCCCCTCTATTCGGCATGCGCATAGAGCCAAGTCGGTTGGCAGGAGTCCAACCATAGCGATAGAAAAGTATAGATGGATAATCCGATTGAAGTTGCGCGGTCCCTTTGCTCTTCATTTTTATCTCTATAACAACCCTGGGAGGTAGGCTAAACAAAGGTTTAACCCCAAAGTCACCCGGTTTCCTCGTGGCTGACTGGAGAATAGCAACCAGATCTCCCGAGTCCCAGTCTAGTATTCTAACCATTATTCCACTACTAGCTCTCTCATAATCTTTCATTTTAGTTATTAAAACTGCCCTTAGTTATATCATTCATTCTTCCAGATCCCACTAATTTCATTTTGATAAACGTCCTGGTTCCTTGGATGCTATTTTTCTCTCTCTCATATAGCAACTAATTGAGAAATCCACGATTTTAGTAGTACCACCACCAGAAACAATAACAGCAAGCTCCATCCAGCCATATTTTGTTGCATGTGAGAACTGTAATTTTTGAAAGGCACAAAAACGTCACTGCATTCCAATATCCTCAAAAATCAGCGCGTGGTGTGATCTGAACTGTGGCAAAGAAAGAATGGCTTGCAACGACCTTGCAATGTAGATCATAACCAATATTTCGGGTTAAGAAGTGAAGCTGAGGCAGATTTGGGTCCAGCCACACATTCCCCATGCAAATAGATTGAGCACTGCTGCAACCCTGTTTTGAGTCTTGAGAGAGATTTGAATTGCCCTAATATGTGAGTTGCGAGCTTAAGTGGACTCCAGGGGATGGCGGAGGACAGGAAGGCCTGGAGGAATGTTGTCCATGGAGTCGCGATGGGTTGGACACGACTTTGTGGCTAACAACAACAAGTATGCGAGTCTATATGATTGCAGCTCTAGCAGGGAAAGGCTACTCGAGCGTTATGCAGATCCGTCCTCTTTCTTATGCCCCGTTTTAAAAATGTGATGGTCCCAGTCCTACAGTTTCAGGACAGTAGCGGCAGAAACAGCAAAGCGTATAGTGCGGTAAATGTGGTGGACTAGAAAGCCACTGCATAAGAGGCATAAAACTTTACCTTTGTAGTAAGATAAGCTTTTATGCATCTCATGTACACTCGTGCATCATTTATTGTGTGTAATCATATTTTTTAGCAGGCTGGCAGAAAGAATCATGGAGTGCAGCGGATAATGCCTATGGCATTACTATGCAAATCTCAAATGCATATAAGAAAAGCACTAGTTAAAAATGGCATTAATTGGTGATGACAGAAACCAGTAGCGAGAAGATAAAACATGAGATTTCATCCAGGCTTAGCAGGGCTTAGACTCTTGGATCCATTCAAATTAATGGAATAAGACTCCACACATAAGATTAAAGGGGTTATAGTCCATAAAAGAATAGTATGCACAATTAGACAACAAAGAAACAGTCCTATGATTTCTGGTATTCTTCAGCCAGCCAAGGATTTGTGGAACCCTTTTCTGCCTAAACATGCATAGGATCACACCCCTAGGGCACTCTAGACGGCCTCTGGAAAACCCTGAGTCCCAGCTGCAATGTTGGGAAGCTCTCTGAGGTCGGAACCAGGGTTCCAACTCTGGAGTGACTTCCCCCTGTCCTTGCGGCTGTCACAGTTCTTTCTGCAGGGAAAAATCTTTGCAGTGGGGTAAAACACGCAGATGGCCAGAACAGGGCATTTAATTTCCTGTTTGATTTCTTTGGAAAGCCAGGGAAGCTCTAAGCTGCCTTCCACTAGATCCTGATTTTGGACGGATATGGATGGAACTGCCCATTTCTATGATATCAAAAGCTCTTTGCTGTTTTTTTCCGCAAAAGTCTCACACAGCTATCCTCTGAAAATGAGGCTGGAGTTACTCATCACTAACTCACCCCGTCGGTTTCAGTTTTCAATTGTCTGATGAATCTGGCTGCTACAGCTACTTGTTTATGTGCAGTCCAACTTTTGTTGTGGTTTTATAATGGTTTCTTTCTTTACATTTTGTAAACTTGCATAACAAGTTCAAAGGTGTCCTATAAATATTTCAGGCGATAAATACACATGGCAAAGTGTAGATCCAACCAATTGCTTTCTCTGAGTTCTAACCCGATAGTATCAATTTTAGTGATAAATTCTTCATTTAAAGTGTGAAGGTGACAATTTCACAAGGCAAATTCATTTCAGTAGCATAGGAAGTGTGTTTGAGATAGACTATTTTTATTGGATCATCTGCACTGCTTCAATGCATGAGTTTCAGTGAAATCATCTAAAGTCACAATCCATGTGAGTTTTGACAAAAAAAAAAAGGCCTACAACTCCCAGCATGCCCCATCAGGCATGGACAGCCTGCTGAGGCATGCTGGGAGTTGCAAATGGTATTTTGCTTAAGAATGCACCCTAAGAAAGTCTGTGGCACCCTCTTTCCAGCCAGCATAAAGTGAAGACCCTTTATTTTCAAGGCATCTCTGTGCAATTAAGATGCAGCTACTGCTCTCTGATCACATATTAACGAAGACAGTGCAGCATACATTGCATAATGCAAACTGTTGCCACACACCAACACAGAGTGTTGCAAATCCAGCAGAAACAATTGAATTGAAAGGTCAAACATGCATACAGCGGCGCCCGGGGGAAGAGTGCCGGCAGAAGAGGCGCCGCGCACACCCCACCTGCGTGCGCGGCAGCGGCAGCGGCAGAGGCAGCAAACGCCGCACCCCGGACTCCACCACCTGCCCTGACTGCCGCCACACCCGGCATGTGTGAGAGGCGTGGCCGGGTGCGTGGCCGGGTGCGGCGAACGTCGGAGGGAGGAAGCCCCGCGCCCTGAAAAGCGCCAGCGGCGCCCGGGGGAAGGGCGTCGGCCGAAGGGCGGGTTCGCCGCCCTTTGGGCACCGAGCGGGGGGGCTGGGCTGGCCAGGGGGCTTTGTTTGCTTGCGCGATTTTTAACCTTTCTGCCACGCTGCGTGTTAGTGTAAGTTTTTAATTGTTT